GCTTTGAAAACGTGGAGGTGTGGAGAAGCACAATGGATTGTTTTTATTATTTGAAATAGTAAGTTGTCTATTAGGTGCCAGGGACTGAATTTTGTAAAATTTGTTGAAGAAGAGGAGAGGCTTGTAGGTAGGTCCTCTGCCTGCCTGCTTTTCTTCCAGAAACATTTAATTAGCTCCATGCCTGGGGACCTATGTGGGGTACAGGGGATCCAGTGATGAGTCAGACATAGCCACATGGTCCCTGCCCTCAAGAAGCTGTTATTCTAGTGGGGGAGCAAGGCAAATAAAGATACTTGTACAGTTATGGGCTAAGTGCTGTTAGGGAGGCTCGTGGGGGCACAGAGTGGGGACATCTAACCCAACGGTGTAGGAGAAGGAGGGGTTGGGAAGAGGTTGGTCAGGGAAGGCTGCCTAAGACAATGATCTATCAATGGTAGGATGGTGGGGCCCAATCCTTATGGGGGAGGGGTGTGAAATCCATTTAGTGCATAGTAACCAGAATTTTTTTAAAAAATAGAGAATATCCTCGTACATCTTATGTACAAAGAATACCACAAATGTGTGTATGTTTGTGTGTGTGCTGAGTTGCTTACTTCAGGTCAGGGTCCAAAGGTTTGAGAGCCATGGTCTGAGAGGATTCTTGGCGGCACGGATCCCCAAAGCCTGACACACTGTTGGCACTCAGAAGCTTTCTGATGAGTGGAAGGCTGGATTTAAATTCTCACCACCATCCAGCAAGCAGGTACCATCCTTCCCAGGTAAGAAAGGCATTGTCAAAGCTCAAGCCTAGCAAACCCGGGTTTGTCAAGCGTGCTTGGCACTCAGCCATTTGCAATTCAGCAGACTAAGGTTTTCCAGTCAGGCCTAAAGCAAGCTTCTCTGCCTGGGGACTGAAGCCAGGGCGAGGTGGGGGAGGAGCCGGGGCCCGTCCGGAGAGACCCAAAGGTGAACCAAAGGCGACCGTTCTGCGGGTGCCCCAGCCTGTGACCTCCTATAAAAAGAGTGTCCCCGGCTCTGACCCACCCAGGTGGCATGTACTTGATAATAGCAGTGGCTCAGGCCACTCTGTTTATCCTGGGATGGCCTCAGACACCCCCACAGGACTGCATCACCAGCAGCCTGCACCTTCAGGACGCCAACAGGAAGCACTGTTTATGGGGGCAGACCAGAATGCAGGGGAGAAAGGGCCCCAGAGAAAACAGGAGATGGACAGAAGTCTGAATTGGTCCCTGGCAGGGTGAGGTGAGTCAAAGGTAATGACTAGGTGGCCACAAACAGAGACTCCTTTTAGTGGTTTTCAGGACACTCCAAACTCCAACTGTCCTATAATATCAGGACCAAAATACCCCTTGGCTACCTTTCTCCCTCATTGTAGACTCTTAAGGTTGGAAGGACCCTAGAAATTATCCAACCTGACTCCCTCATTTTACAGATGAAGAGCAAGGGGCCCAGAGAGGGAAGGCACTGGCCCAGGGTCAGCCAGCAGGCAGCCCGAGAGCTGGGCCAGGACCCGGAACCTGGGTCTCTGGCACACAACACTGGGGCCTGAGGCCCTTCGGGTGCTCTCTCCTGCCATTTCGCCATCTTTCCTATCTAGTCTCACCCCCTTTGGCCCCTTCTCTATCTGCAGCCAGAGAAATCCCTAAATGATGACTCAGTTACTACTCTACCTGCCCAAAACCTTCCCTTTTTCCGCCGCTGCCCTCGGGTGGAAACCTATTGCCCTCCCCCTTCCCACCCCTTGGGTTTCCTCTCTTGCTCTTCTTGCCCTGACATATTGTCTCCTGCTCCCAAACTACTTGTAGCCCCATAAATGTGCAGTGTTCTCCCCCATCCTATCCTTAGCACATGCTGCTCCCTCTGCCTTTCACTCTTCCTGACCCTGCTGTACTTGTCTGCTCTTCTTTAGTCTTCCCGTGAGATCTTGCTCTTTCCAGAAAACCTCCCTGGCCCGCTGACCCTGACCTCCAGGTTAGGTATCCCTACTACATTCCCTTGTAGCAACTCGGATCTACCGTCAGTTTCTCCTGCTCCCTGAGAGAAGACTCTGTGATGCTGCCTAACCCAAAGTCAGATCCACAGCAACTAGTCAATAAATGTTTGTTGACCAAATGGTCATCAGTGTCCGTCCTTCTCCGAACCTCCTAAGAATGGCCTTCCATTTTCATGATGCATTTTTCAAAGGCTATTTTTTTAGAGCAGTTTTAGGCTCACGACAAAATTGAGAGGAAGGTACAGAGATTTTCGGTATGCCCAATACCCCCACGCCTGTGTGGCTTCCCCATTATCAACCCTCTCTACCTGAGTGGTGCATTTGCTGAAGCTACACCTCATAGTCATCCAAAGTTTACAGGCGGGTTCACTCTGGTGTAGTACATTCAACGGGTCTGGATGAATGTATAATAACATGGAGCGGGTGACCATGTATCATACAGAGTATCTTCATTGCTCTAAAAATCCCCAGTGCTCTATCTGTTCATCCCATCATATATTTTCAATTTTTTTTTTTTTTTTAACCAAGCACTGCTTTTGCCCAGAGGATTCTGGGAGCCACAATTTCTGATTCCCCAGTCACGCCTTGCCTTTTTTTTTTCATGCCTCTGTGTCTTTGCAGGTACTGTTTCCTCTACCTGGAATGCCCTTCCCCAGCATGCCTGCTAACGAAATCCCTGCTCATTCTTTAAGACCCGTCACTTCCGGTACCTTTTTCCTGACTGACACCCTGCATCTCAGCCAGATGATGAGTTTCCCTGCTCAATCGCCCTTCATCCCCCAGGAACTGCCCCCTTGGAGGGAGTGAAAGCATCTTTGTCTTCGAATGAAGGATACTTGCAACCAGTTACACAGAAAGGCACACACATGTTATCTTTATAGGACAGATGCTGACCAACAACAAAAGGGCAGGGGCACCGTGCCAGTGACGAGGTTAGTCTCAGCTCCAAACCTGCCCTTCTCTTCTCACTTTGCAGTCGGGACCGGGACCACATGACTGACATTTCTGCTCTGCCGACTGACCCCTAGTTAGATGCTGCAAGGCATGCATGCGGAGGCAGAGGGGACACGTTCTCTTCTGGGTGGCTTGGTGCTCGTGTCAGTGTCATGTCAGCAAAAGGCCGATTCACTTCCAGTTTCCAGTTTTCCCCCAGCTCCTAGCATCATCTTTATAGGCTCTCTCTCCAGAAGCCCCACTGGGCAGTGGGCCCTGCTCAGAGGCCTGGATCGCCCCTTCTGGGGGTCCCCCTCTCGACCCTCTACGTTCTAATATCCCAGGCTCAGACTTTCCCCTCCAGAAAAGGGGGGCATCGCTGCTCCCAGAGTAACCTCCTCTGCTTCCTCAATGCCCTCCTTTTGCTTTTTCAGTTCTCCAGTATCTCCTGATATTAAATTCTCTCTGTTTTCCTGACTGGACTCTGCCTGATACAGAGACAGGGTTCCTGCTCACATGGATCTTACAGTCTAGGGGGAGAGACAGACACACGTTCAGCAACTACTCACACAAATGAGGATTTAATTACAGTTGACATAAGTGTTGGGAAGGAAAAGCACAAAGTATATTAGCATGTGAATGGCCCTGGGAAGCCCTTCAATAGATGAAACTGTTTAGCATTGTTTAACTCAGCATCTCTTCAGTTTCCTTGATCAAGAAACTTCATAGTGAGCCTATTAACGCCCAGAAGAATTAAGTGTTCCACACAGTCTACCCTGTTAATGGAAAATGGGAAGTCATTAAAGAAACTGCCAGGGGACTGGGAGTGTGAGCATTTGCCATGTTCCTTCAGGAGCACCAGTGGGTCAGGGCGCTCTGAGCTCTCAGCTCCAGCGTTCAGCCACATCAGCTGACAATCCCCTTTGCTCTTATTCCGGCCCTACAAAGGCAACTTTCTGATCACCACTGACTCACCAAGTAAATGTCCCTGTAAGGAGAGGAGGCTCTCATCAGCCGGTCCGGGCCTCTGGTCTCCCTGGCAATTTCTTTCTCATTTTAGAGCAGAGTTTCTTGACCCGGGTCTTTAGGAGAACCCTCTTAAGACTATATGCAAAATGTGCATGCGTGTGCGTGCGTGTGTGTGTGCACATGTGGCCATTTTTTTAGGAAGAGGGTGCATAGTTCTTGTTACTCCTTGTGGGACTGTGACTCTAGGAAAGAGAAAGGTTAGGAATCACCATGCTAAAGGAAAACGTTCTTGTTCTAATATGTACATTGGCCTCCTGTGAGTTTGGTTACTGTGAGTCTCAGTCTGATCAGCTTGCATTCACTTACCAACAGAAGTTCTGGATCCTCCAAGGTACTCCCCCTGGCTGAGGGTCCAGCCAGCATTCTTGGACCACATGCTATCATGTACCTTCTCGACCTTTTTGCTCTCTGGAAAACCTCTCCCCATGCCCTGTGATCCACTCCCAATTATTATCTGGGTCTCATTTTAGCTGTCATTTCCTTCTTGAAACCCTCTGACTTTCCAATTCTGGATGAGGTACCCCTTCTTTGTGCTCCCACAGCATCACTCCCTCCTCCCTGGGACTCCCCACCATTACCTCCCCTCCACCCCCATCGTGGGCCATGTTTTCCCCTTTTGTTGTGCTTTTCTGACGACACAATCAACCCTTTCTGGTACTTGTCTGCTACCTGTCGAAGCACAAGCTCCATGAGCAAGGGGGTTTGTGTCTAGCTTTGCCCAGCTTTGCTGCCCACACCAAGCACAGCATCTAGCACACAGTCAGTGTTCATTAAATACCAGTCAAAGGAAAGCATGCAGAAATCTGTAGTTTAATCCTTTTAGTGCTACCCTCCTGTGCTCTCACAGTTAACCACTACTGTCCTTGGCTTCACTCCATGACTACGTAGAGACTCGTCAGCCATGAGCACTCCTGACTGTGAACCATTCAGATCATAATTTTTGTCTTTTGTCAGCAAAAGTTTCTTTCTCACCAACATATGCACACGGCTACATGTGGGCGAGAGAAGAGAAAACGCGCGTCCTGGTGTGTCAGGATGGACATACCTGCATTTCTCAGAAAGCAGTTCCTATAGTCCTTGACTATCCTCGTGGCCGGGTTATAGAAGCCGTCTCCACAGTCATAACAGCCCTGAGGGATTTTTCTAGGTGGGTCCATATTGGTGAGTTGAGAGATACCTTGAAAGGGCACAACGGATAATTAACTCACCACCAAGGCCAAACCGAAACTCAGTCCCCCTAAAGTCCACGTTTGTCCGGTTGCCCATGTGACGAAACGCTCCCTCTTCAGAGCGTGGAGCAAAAGTAATGGGAGCAGTGCCCTAGAGCAGCTTCCTGAAAATGGCTCTGGGAGCAGGGGCTTGGGGACTAGACCCCCAACTTCTTCCCTTGACCCCATCCTCCATTTCTGGGGACACCATGATGAGGGCGTAGGTTCTGGAGGCAAAGAGACCCTGAGGAAGCATCACAGTCGGCCGTGTGGACAGAAAGGCGTGTCTAGAGGACAGACGGCATGCAAGGGGTGGGCAGAGCCCAGACATGAGCCATCAGGCCTCACTCAGGAAACCTGGTGGGGCGAGGCATGTATAAGGAGAAGAGCAGGAAGAAATGGGTCAGGTGGGCAGGGATCAACCTTGACTCTTACCAGAATTACCACAATGGCTGCCATTTAGTGAGTGCTTATCCAGTGCCTGGAAATTCATTAAACGCTTGACTCCTACTACTTCACTTAATTCTCACAGCAACCCTGGGGCCCCATTTACAGAGGAGAAAACTGAGGTTCAGAGAGGTCAAGTAACTGGCCCCAGACTCTCCAGCTAGGAAGCAGCGAGGCACCCAGCTGTGAAACTTGTGCGTTAGGCTGCTGACATTGGCTCCACCAGGAGCTCAAGAGGAGTTGGTGCACCTTGTAGGTCACACTGCCCTGTGTGTTGTATATCTTGGAATGCTGAAGCCTGAGTAATGGGTACAAGGTTGGAATAAATAACTTCTCGGGTTCGTTCTAACTTGCATTTCCTGTAATTCCCCATCCTCTGGACTGAGGGCTGGCTGCACACTGAGCATAGCACCCTGCTCCCGGCGCAGGGTCCGTCCTGCACCCAGGCGCTCTTCTGCACGTGTGCACACTGTTGGCTCACAGTTACTGGGCTCTCGCTCCACGCCAAGCACTTCCAGGTCATTCTCTCGCCTCATGCTGCTGGGGGAGGGGCTGCTTGAGCTTCTCCCTACCCCTGAGGCCAAGAGGCAGCTATCGCAGGGCCCTGCCAAGTGCCTGGGGACCTGGGAAGGCAGCAGGTACTTGGGATGAAGTTGCCGTGTTGGGAGTCACCAGAGGAGAAGGAAGGATGCGGGGAGGGTCACCGCACTGCCTGTGAGCCTGGCTGAGCCCCGCCTTTGACAAGACCAGCTGCTGTGTGACAGCTGAAGGCCTGAGGCCAGGGGCTCTCTCTTCGCCTACACGCTTCCTTTGGGGGTGAGGAGCCCATGACAGAGTCCAGGCCCTGTCAAAACTAGCCCAGGAGGAGCCACGGACAAGGTTCTCAAGTGGGGTCTAGACTGGCAGCTCCTTGAAGGCAGAGACTGTCCCCCGGGGACTAGTCAGTGTCTGACACAGAGTAGGTGCTCAGGAAATCTAATGTCATGGCCTTACCCCCCACACCCCATCTCCCCCTGCTGTGATGTCAGTATTATCCTCCCTGGATAACTTTACTGAGCGCCTACTAGGTGCCAAGCAATGTGCCGGGCACTGGGGACACAGCGGTGACGAAGACAGAGCCCCCGCCCTCACGGAGCTCAGGCGGCGTGGGAAGAGAGATGCTGTGCACTCATGACAGAGCTCTAGGGACCAGCCCCGGCTGCTCTGTGGTATGCCACAGGGAGACCTCGCCTCGTGTGGGAATTCAGGGAAGGGGCTCCAGACCAAGGGACGTTACGCTGAGATCTGAAGGCTGGGAAGGAGATATTTGGGTGATGTGAGAGGGTAGAGCCTCCCAGCAGAGGGAAGAGCAGGAAAGAGTGTGGCTTTTTCAAGGAATAAAGATAGAGCCAGCACGGCGAGGGAGGAGAGAAAATCCAAGAGGGGAAGGTGGTACGGGCTGAGGCTGGGCACTGGGGCAGGGGCCAGAGAATGCAAGTCATTTTAAGAGTCTGGAACCTTCTCGTGAGGGTAGCAAGGAGGCACTGAAGAGTATGTGGTGGGGGTAGGGGTGGCAGAGAGTGGCAATCAGAGCCACGTTCTTTAAAGATGAAAGTGACCGCGCCCAGAGTGAGTCAAACCTAGATCTCAGGAGACTAGGTAGTGGAGGGGAGAGTATGGAGGTCTGGGACAGGGCAGCACCAGAGTGGATGAGGAAACCCCGCGTGGCGCATGGGGGTGCTCAGCCAACGGTGATTTAATGAACGCATGAAGGAATATATTTAAGAGGTAGAATCCACGGGACCGGGTGGTTGCTTGTGCACGGGGAAAGAAGGCAGGACTCGGGCCATCCAGGTGGATGGGGTGACAGTCTCTGAGGGAGCAATCCCCTGGAGAGAAGGAGCTGGTGGGGAAGGGAATGAGTTCCGTGCAGACAAGGTAAAGGGTCCCAAATACAGGTGTTGGGGGAGCTGGCTGCAGGAACCTGGGGCTCAGGAATTTTGATTTTTGTTTGGAAGCTGATGGTATAAATGAAGTCTTAGAGGTGAATCAGCTTGTTTAGGGAGAGGGTACAGAATGTTATGGAAGAGGGCTTAAGGCCAGAGAGCCCTGGGAACCCCCAAATTAATAACTGGGGGGGAGGAAGAGCTGACAAAGGAGACAAAGGGAGAGAAGTTTCACCTGGTCAACTATCTGATTCAAGGTGACACAGCCAGGATTTGAGCTCAGGTCTGCCTGACTCCAACCTGGGTGCTTTCTGGAGCTTTCTGCCCTCATGGAGGCTGACTTGCCCAGGCTCATCCCGCTATTGAGAGGGAATTTAGGACTCAAACCCAGACCTTCCAGCTCCAGGCTGTCAACTCCACCATAACATGTCATAAGTTAGGATTTATTTTGATAGTTTGCACAGTCACTTTCCCATTTGTCATTTTGGATGTATGGTCTCGGCTGGGCGAACGCCTATGCTCTTGAGGTGCAGCTGACCACACACAAGCCCCGGAAACACCTGTGAGCCCCTTCAGTGGCTGCTCTCTGAATCCAGAGTCTAGGCCCACATGTCACCATTGGTGGCGGAACACCATTTCTGATGATACAGGGGACACAGAGAGGAAGACCTGGGCCCCCCAGGGAGCTCTACCACCGGGAAGCCAGTCTGGAGTCCGGAGCCTCGGTTTCCTCCTCTACCACATGGGACCAGAAAGGCAGGCGTGACGGGGTCATCTGGAGATTCTGTGAGACAGGCATCACACAGAACCTCAGCCGGAGCCTGGTACACAGGGCACATGCTCCTTTGGTGCGGCTCAGTTTCCACAGCTCAGATGGGCCGAGCACCCACAGCACTCCAGACCCTGCTGGAAACGCTTTCCATGCATGATCTTACTTACAACAGACCTGTGAGGTGGATGATGCTATTGTCCCCTTTTGCAGGAGAGAAACCGAGGCACCGAGCCGTGCATGCCCTGCCTGTGGTCCCCCGCTGGTATGGCGGAGATCTGCGGGTGACCTCAAATGGGCCGCGGCCCCTTACGTAAGGCTGCCTTTCGTTTCCCTCTTGGTCTGGGTGTGAAGGAAAGGGAGGGTGCCCGGTACCTGCAGGCTTCAAGCCGTGGCAGATCTCCGTGTAAAACCTGCGATCGCAGCTGTCACAGTAATGCCAGTGCTGGGCGTTATACTGCAGCCCGTCCGAGAAGGTGTACGTGCCCTGGAAGACAAGGAGCATGCGCGCCGGTGGAAGAAGCCCTTCTGCCCAAGAAGGATGGGTGTCATGGCAAGACGTGGCTTCCTCACCTTCTCATTGCCACAGGAGAGCAGTGAAAGCTCTCCCAGTTATTGGGGCTGTGACGGTTAGAAGGAACAGTAGAGGGCTGGACTCTGTGACTGGTACTCGAAATATGGCAGATGACCCAGCCCTCGGTTTCCTCATTTGTAAAACTGCCTCCTGATGGTATATATTTAACGGGGTTGATTCGATGAGGCAGTACCAGCAAAGCGTTTAGCACAGTGCCTGGCATGGAGTAAGCATTCAATCATAGCTAAAAAGGTCATAGCCACTGGTCACAGCCCTTTGTCCACACATGTACATTCCGCTTCAGCTACCCCAGGGCTGAAGGAATCCCCGGGATATACAGGTCGCACTGGCCTGGGCACCAGGAAACGGAGGTGGAAATTCCGATACTATTAATTCACTGTGTGACCTTGGGTAAGTCACATCCCCTTCCTGAGGCTTAGATTCTCCAAGCTGTAAAACAAGGAATGCTCCTCAACCTTTTTAAGGTGGGCATTAGTGAAACCGATGAGAGCCGTAGATCTCTCCCCAGAGAGAACCATAGTCCCAGATACACAGAAATTTTTGCATATCAAGTGGGAGGTCCCACTTGACCCCCTGAATTGTATGCATGGCCCCTAAGTCCCAGGTGGGATTGGATGGGTTAGATGACTGGTTATGATAGTAGCAGTGGTGGTGGTAGTGCTAAGACCTAACACTGAGTGCCTGCTCTATGCCAGGTACTGAGCACAGCACTTAGAGATACCACCTCATTTACACTCACAACCATCCCGGGAGGTGGCTGGGGCTATTGTGGCAGGCTGAACAAAGGTCCTCCCCAAGATATCCACATCTACCTGCTGGAACCTGTAAAAATGTTGACCTCATATGGCAAAAGGTACTTTGCAAATGTGATTAAGTGAAGGATCTTGAAATGGGGAGATTTTCCTGGATTATCTGGGTGGGCCCAATATAATCACAAGGGTCCTCGTAAGAGGGAAGCAAGGGGGTCAGAGGGATAGAGGACAAGACGATGACAAAAGCAGACAGAAGGTGATGTGATGATAGAAGCAGAGGTCAGATTGGTGCCTGGCCACCAGCCAAGGAATGCAGGAAACTTCTGGAAGATGGAAAAGGTAAGGAAATGGATCTCCCCCATAGCCTCTGGAAGGAATGCAGCACCACTGACTTATTTTAGACTTCTGACTTCCAGAACTGTAAGGTGATAAATTTCTATTGTTTGAAGGCACTGAGTTTATAGTCATTTGTTACAGGAGCAATATGAGGTACAACTATTGTCCCCAGTTTATAGGGGAAGTCATGGGCCCAAGGTCACCCAGTTAGTTAGTGGCACAGTAGGATTCAAACTCATCATGGCCTCTCCAGGGGCCCTTCTGGATCCAGAGGAGTAGATTCCAGAGCCCTGGGAGATCGGTTGGAGGGCAGCAGGGGAGTGGAAGGAGATGGGCACCAGATGGAGAGGTCAGGGTGCTCTGCAGTGGGGGCTCTTCCTGTCCAAGGCTTTGCCCTCTGCAACCTCCCCTCCTCAGGCTGATCACCTTCACAACCAGTCCCTTTTCCCAAATGGCATCATGGCGGCTCCCGCTGGGGAAGTACAGGGTTCCTTGGCCATGAAACATGCCGTCCTTCATTTCCCCGACGTATTTTGTTTTGGTAGGGAGGATGTATTCGGCTTTGCCCTCCATCCTGCAAGCACAAAGGGAAATCCGTAGACTGTGACTAGCAGCCAGGGTATTGGAGCTGGTACAAGAGAGCAAGTGGGACCCTCACCCTCGGGGTCCTCAGCTTACTGTCCCAGTAATATTCTGTTCAAAAACAATGTTTTTGTTTTGTTTCCCTCAAAAACTCCAAAATGAGAGGGTCTATTTTGGTGAAGGTGGGGGACGGGGCACAGAGTTTTGTTGGTTTGTCTTCCGCCTCACCTAGAGGCTGTCCTGGAGTTCACACATTCCATAACACAGCCCTTGGTAGGCCCAGAGTTGGGAGGGATGTGCTCAAAGCCACACAGCAAGCTCTGGGAAGCAGAGACCTTGGCCAGATTTCCTGGCAGCTGGTTCTGTGTCCTCCGTGTCCCCCATGACCAGCCCACCCCTGTCCTTTACACCACTTGTAGAGAATTGGGAAAACAATGAAATTCAGACAGAGGCCATAGGCCTGAATCTTTCTTCACCATTTCCTAGATGTATCGTCTTGGAGACCTTCCTAAACCTTTTTGTTTTCCTTCCTTCCTTCCTTTTTTCCCAACAAATATTTACAGAGCATCTACTACATATCAACATCTACCGCACGTGCTGAGTTGTTGGTCTGCTGGGTACAACAAGGTCACAGCAGTGATCAAGGCATATGCCGTTCCTGCCATCAAGGGGGCTCATGGTCTAGTGGGGGGCACAGTTAAGCAATTGCAGAATATGTAGGAATTGTCATGCAGGGGGAGGCAGGCCTCTACCGGAGTCCAAGCCAAGGACACCCAGCTTGACCAGTTGACCACTTACTTTATGTGTGAAATGGCTGAGATTAATGCCCAAGATCAACCCAGATAATGTATACTGATTTTCCTAGTAAAGGGCCTGACATCCAGTGAGTGCTGAAGAAATATCCTTTCCTTCATTTCTTCATTCCTGTATTCCTTCTCTATCCTTCCCCCGCTGGCTGGAAGTCAGCCTGAACTTCTTTAGGCTTTTGTTTGAACTTCTGTTGGACACTCAGCACTCTCTGCCTTGCATTGTAATTGTATTCCTCATATTCCCTATTTAATCAAAGTTCTGGAGAGGAAGACCTTGGCATCCTCAGTTCTTAGAATCATGCTTCTGTGCAAACAGGTGCCCTGTAAACAGCTATTATGTAAGGAATGAAGGGAACTGACCGAGGGGATGAAGGAAGATGCCACTGTGGCACAGGCCCCGAGCAGAAGAGCGCTGTCTGTGGTCAAGGCACAATTTCTGAGCCATGCAGACCTGGGGCCACCAAACCTGAGCCAGGCCTGGCTCCACCTCTGTGTCTGTATGACCTTGGGCCAGCTCCTTCGCCTCTCTGAGCCTGAGTTTCTCATCTGTAAAATGGGGATAATGACAACACTCCTCCCCAAAGTTGAGATAACTGGATGAAATAGTAGCTTATGAAACAACAGCAGAATGCCCCAAATAGAGTAAGAGCTCAAACGTGATGTTGTGTTTATTCTACTGCAAGACATGGGAGGTGACAGAATGCCTTTTCTCCTTCAAATGTCTTTACTTGAAATCACAGCTACCATTTCTGTCTCCATCAAAACCCTTCTCTGAGGTTAGACT